AACATGGCATTTTACAGTCAACTTTTAAAAATGTAATTAGAAAGAGTACCCTCTAAAACAATGATGAGAGATACAGTATTGTAAATACATAAATCAGTAATATAATCATTTATTATCAAGTATTATGTACTGTATAATTGTATGTGCTATACTGTTTACAGTTGGCGGCACAGAAGCTTTGTTCAGACCAGCATCACCACAAACATGTAATGGGTTGCTTTGTGACCTTATGACAACTATGACCACGCCTGGTGGTAAGAATTTTTCCAGTCCATTATAATCTATGGGACTACCATTGTGTATGCGGTCTGTCCTTGAACTGGATGTCATTATGTGGCATGTGACTGTATCTAATATATATCTTTCCACTAGACTATGAGCTCCTTATCTGACATAAAACATAAAAACAACAAGTTTAAATGTCTTACTAAAGAATTGCACTCAATTTTCTTTGATAATTTTTAGACTATCTCTTGAACAATGCTTATATTACTCTTTTCATTGATAATATTTATTTTTTCTTTCTTTTTTCCTTAATCAGGCTTCTGAGTTTACATATTTTATTACTTTTTTCAAAGAACCAGCTTTTGATTTTATTTATTCTTTCTACTATTTCTAGCTACCTTACCACATTCTCTTTAATGTTGTAGTTTTTTTAAAAGGAAAAAAACCCCTAGCATCCTAATGTTTTCAGTTGTACAATTATAGCATCTATAAAGACTTTTTTTGTATCTTCCTGTTAAAGATTTGTATCTACTATTTGATTTTCATGCCTTATTGCTTTGTTTTAGCCTCTAGGAGGATGCTAATAATACTGATGATAGCCAGCACCTCTGCTTTGTTTCTGAATTTGGTACAAAATGGCTTTAGTATGATTCCATTTTGTATGCTGTTTGCTGTGCTTTTTTGAGTAGGAACATTTATATTGTTCCCTGAGGAGCCAGTAAGATTGAATAAAAACCAGAAGAGTCCTGGGAGCCAAGTGAAAAAAGTATTTCAAGAAGACAAGAGTAATTAACTATGTCAAATGCTGCGTAGGTCAAGTTAGATAAAGCCTGAAGAACACAGATGTCACTAATGACCTTAATGAGAACAATTTCCATGGAGAAATGATTAGAACGGATTACAGAGAGAATGGAGGAGAGGAATTGGAGACAGTGAGAAGAGGCAAGTTTTGTTTTGCAAGGTTTGTAGTAAAGAGGAGAGGGGAGTTGGGAGAGAAGCTGGAGAGAAATGGAATCCAGAGTTTCTGGGTTTTTTTCTTTTAAATTTATTTTTATTGTATTTTTTACATCACCATATTTCCCTGTTATTGTTTTTTTTAAAGATGAGAGATATTACGCCGCATTCGAAAGTTGCTGCTTATGACCCAGTAATAGGAAAAACTGATGAGCAAAGAGAAAGGAGAGCATTTATAGAGCAGTATTTTGAATAAGTGAGAGGGGATGGGATCTTGTACACAAGTGGAGGGTGACTTCCAATAGAGTAGGGACAATTTATCTACCACAAGAAGAGGAAAGGCAGAATACAGTAAACAGGGACAGACATTGGTAAGCAGGTCATTGTTGTCAACTACTGCTTCTTTTTCTCAGTGTACTTAAAGATTTCCTAGTGTAACGTTGGAAAATTTTAAGGGTGGGGAATTGTAATCCACCCAGTATTCTTCTGACATCGTTTCTGTAAGTGCTGACTCTGACTAATATGTCGCTTGGAGATGAAGAACAGGTTTGTAAAAGAATCCTAGGAACTAACTTTTAAAGACACAAACCCTGACCTTCAGGAATCCCAGCTCTGGAAGATTTGCTGACCTTCAACCACAGCGCCAGGATGACGGGAAGCCAGGAGGACTAACCCAGGGTGATGCACACTGGACCATCGCTTGCCTTATCGGAATGGGCTGTGCTGGTCTGCACGTGGGGAACTTTTCAACCTCTTCCCTTGATCTCTTTTTCTGTTCCCGTCTCCCTCTTCATGAAAACCTCTGCCTCCACTGAGAGGTGGAGATGGGCTTTGAGATGTGAGCCCCCCACCTTCCAGGTGGCCAGTACCTGAAAATAAACCATTTTCATTCACATCAGCACCTGCCTCTGGTAGCAGCAGGCAGCTGAACCTGCTTTCGTTATAGTAGGCGATTCCAGTGAACATTTTGGGTTTGGAGCCACTGGCCTGTGGTTAAAAACGAACCCACAGATCCTGTTGCTTCCTTGCCCCAGGCCTATTCCTGCATCTTAGATCCCATCTTCCTGCTGGTGAGTAAAGGCAGTCCCAGAGCCACACACTTTTATTGCTCAGAGTTCTGGAGGCTGGGAAGTTCAAGATCAAGGTGCCGGCAGGTTTGGTGACTGGTGAAAGCTGGCTTCCTGGTTCTTGGACTGCTGTCTTCAACTACACCTTGTCCTAACGCGCTAACTCCATTCCTGAGGGCTCTACCCTAATAATATAATCACTTCTAAAAGGCACAACCTCCAAATACCATCACATTGGGAATTAGGTTCCAACATGAGTTTTTGGGAGACGCAAATATTTCAAGAATATTTTAAAAATTTATGTCTAAATACCCCGCGCGAGGCAGGCATGGCGCTTCCCCGCCCAGGGCAGCAGCTCCCTGCCCTGGTGCGCTCCAGGGCCGCCGCAGGAGTTGGCACCCCTGGCCTAGCCGCTGAGGTGCCGCTTGTGGTATCGAGGCACAGGCAGTGGGGAAGTGCTGGTACATTTTCCCCCTCAGAAAAAAGGAGAAGTCCTCAAATAACCAGGTGACCTTTCTAACCCCTGAGCTCTGTGTGATCATTTTCTGCTGACCGACCCCTACGTAGGCCAGCTGTTTCTTTAAAAATCTTCTCTTGGGGTAAAAATAAGAAATAACCTGCTGGTTTCCTGACAGTAACACCCACAGGAGGCCGACCCCCTGCGTTGCACTTGCGATGGAAGGTGCCTTTCACTGCCCGGCATTGTGTTATAATGGACTCCAGTATCAAAATGCACGTTCACACCCTTGTCCCACAATTCAGAGGATGGCCATTCACCGTGCGGGAGCCATTCACTCAGGCTCATCACATGGGGAAAATTACATTTACCCAGTTACCGAATGGAAGAGATAAATGATCTCACGTGAACAAGCACATTGTTCCTAAGAGCAGCTTCACGGAGCCAACACCGATCTAAAACACCCAGGAGGGACATCAGAGCTTTCCTGCTGTCCTCCATTCGAGCCACCAGATCCTCACTCTGAGGGGCTTAGTGCGGTGGGGCATTTGACTTTCCAGCTTTTTTGGATAAAATGATCATCCTTGAGGCCTCTCATTCTTTTTTCCTAGAAAAGATATTATAAAACCGCTTATTCTTCCTAGAAAAGATGTTATAAAAATGAATAAATCAACACAGAACATTTCATATGCATACCCACTGAATTGATAATACTTATATGTAATGAAAATTAGAGAAGCAAAACGTTAAAAATATTCTCTTCGGGGAAGATGCACTGGAACGCCTTAGTCACGGACGGACACACGTCTGCTTGTTACCCGCACTCTCCTTATCCCTACAAATTCTTTTAGGTCAGTGGAGGTTCAGATAACTATCTCTAATTTAGCATGTAATCTTTAACCTACTACCCACACAATATGATTAATAGCAATCGTATCTACGTAATAATTACAGCTAACATTTACTGCCGTTCATGTAGCCATCACTGTTCCAAAACACCCACTTGATACGATCCCACAATTTAAAATTTTTGTTTTTGCCCACGTTATACTTGGCACAATAATAGGATTCACAGGTAGTTTTTTCCAACAGTTATCGAGCACCTATTATGCACCTGGAATTGTACTAGGCTCTGGAGGTTGTGGTGTTGGTGGTGGGGGGGTGAAGCAGAAACAACGGTAGTACAGGGCAGACCCTATGTGGTGTCACAGTGCCGTTCTCTGAATGTTCTGGGAGTTGGGAGAAAGTAGGGCTCATGGGTAGTTAAACCCACTAATGACCTTATTGTACAATATTTAGGTTGTCATATTTTTCTCTGCCTAGAAAACTGGCTCCTCAACCATTCCACTGGGGTGCATGCACCTAATCCTTGTGGACCACTTTGGATTTCCTGGAAGCCACCCCCTAAACACCAGGTATTACCTGTGTTTCCGAGCTGGTGGCTTCTGCGTTCCTTTTCTCTAGCATTCAAAGTATTTATTCCCTTCTGTTAGTTTTGTCCTGGCCGTGTGTTGAAGCACAGATTCCCAGCCCAGGCGGCGGGCTCTGAACCTCTGGGCCCATGCACTTGCGTTCTGCGCCCGCTCAGCCCTCCGCCCGGTGCGCGCCTCGGGCCACCCGAGTCTCCCCCCGCGGGGCACCGGCCGGCGGTGGCTGGGTTCCAAACCGGCTATCCAGTCCCCGCCAGCTCCTTCTCCTCTCCGAGTCCTCCGCCCCCGGCCGCTGCAGCAGCGCGGTGCTGACCGGGCGGGGAGGCTGGGTTTCATCGCGGGCTGAGGAGGACCCCCTGCTTCCCGCCGCCACCTAACCCCGCCCGGACGGAGCCCCAGGGGGCCTCTTTCTTCGGGCTGGAGTGAGCCCAGCTTCTAAAGTGGCAGAGGTCTCTGGAAAGCGTGCGCGCAGGCAGGAAAGCAAGGCTACCCCGGGACTGGGGGCTCCACTCAGAAAACAGGTGAGGTTGACTCCGAGGGGGCTGGGTCCGGGAAGGCCAGTCTACACTGCGGGCGCTCCGCCCCGGAACCACGCAGCCGAGCGCCCGGGAGGCCGTGGGCAGGGGGAGCGGGGCGCGCGGGGAAGGCGGCCACCCAGGGCCGGGCACCCCCGCGCCCGCCGCCGCAGCAGGTGGGGGGCCCGGAGGGCCGGGGGCGGGGCCCGGCTCGGGGCGGAGCCGCGGCGGCAGCACGCGCGGGGCGGTGCGGGCGGGGGCCGGAGCCAGAGCCGCAGCCGGAGCGGGAGCGGCGAGCGGGGCTGTCCGGGAGCCTGCGGGAGCTCGTCGCGCCCCGGGGCTGGGACTCGCCTGGCCGAGCGCGCCGGCGCCGCGACCGCAGACAAAGGCGCTGCTCGCGCCCGGCCGCCGCGATCTCGGGCTCTGCCGTGGGTAAGTGGCTCCCCCTGCGCTTTCTTTCTTCTCCCCTCTGCCTGCCCCTCTCGGAGTTCCACCGGCTCCGGAGATGCCGGGAGTTCCCCGCTTTCTGCAACCCTCACCTCACCTTTAAAAAAAAAAAAAGAAAGAAAGAAACCCAAAATAAAAAACCAAGCAGATACCAAACTAGCGAGTTTTCGAGCAGTGGGTGTCTCCCCCGGGACTGCCCAGGCCGCCCTCTGTGACCCCTGCTCAGCGACCGCGCGCGGGTGTAGTCGCTGGGTCGGCGGTTTGGATGGGAAGGTTGCCGCTGGGCTCCCTGGAGGAGGGTGTAGTGAAAGGGAATACAGGGACGAGGCACCACGAGGGGACCCCACCCCCGGGGACAGTTCGTTGCGTTCTGGGGGCGCCGAGGGGCGGTTTGCACTGCGATTTCAGATTTGGATGTCGGTTGTGGGGTCTGTTCCACTCCTCCCCTCCAACCTCCTTCGCCTCTCGTTCAAGGGTTTATGCAGCGACCCCCACGCCCCACCGACGGAGTCGCCCACTCGGCCCCTCCGCGGACCCAGGGCGGGGGCCCGAGAGAGTGGGGAGTGAGGGAGCCCCGCAGCTTTCCCCGGCTGGGCAATCCTGAGCCCGAATCTGCTAGGGAGGGCCGGTGGCCGCCCGCAGAGGATCGGGTTTGACATCACTGCTGGGTCCCGGCCGTCCTTCCCAGCTTCTGCCCCTGCTGCTCTCCATCAGAAAAGCTTTCGGAAGCCCGGCTGGCTTTTGCTTTTGTTCTGCCCGCAACTCCGGAATCCCAGAAGCCAGAGTGGGCGGTTGCCCCAGGAGGGGGTCGTGGCTGGAGCCCCAGGTGCGGCCCCGAAGTGACCTTTGGAGGCGGCGACCGTTTCCCGCCGGGGTGGGGAATGGATCCCTCTAGCTGATCAATGCCAGGATTGGGCAGTGGGTGTGCGGCTCAGGTAGAGCGCTGTGTCCATCTCGGCCGCGCGCAGTCACGCGCCTCTCCACTCTCGAAAGCGCAAGTTCCAGACGCACATTTCCATTCATGGATCTGTGCCTGGGATTTGATTAATGTCACCTCTGCCCCGACTCTCTAAGCAGAGAATGTCTGCTACAATTCGATTTAATAGGCATTTGCAGAGGGCCTACAATGTGCAAGGCAGCAGCCCTATGATCATCTTAATTTACGAGACACTTACCGAGCACCTACTATGTGCAAAGTAGATGTTACAAACTTTTCCATTTAAAAGACATTTATTGAGTACTTACTATGTTCAAGATAGCTTTGCTGTTACTTTGTTTTAATGGCAACTACTGAGTACAGGTGTGTGTGTGTTTTTCTGAAGGGGTGCCTAGTGTACTTTTGAGGGCCATCCGGAGACAAGGGTGAGAGAATATATCCCTGGACCCTTGAATCTTCAATTTCTTCCGTGACGTGCATTTCTTATAAAAATCATTTTTATTTATTGATTTTAGAGAGAGAGGAACATAACTTTGTTTTTCCAGTTATTTGTGCATTCATTGATTGATTCTTGTGTGCGCACTGACCAGGATGGAACCCATAACCGTGACATATGGAGAGGGTGCTCTAACCAGCTGAGCTAGCCAACCAGGGCTACTGGTGACCTGCACTGTAACCTTTCTGAACTGCTTCTGTGGTGGAGGAAGAGCTTCTACTCTACAGTGCTAGGGTTTGTCCGAGGGCAGCAAGGCAGAATAATGAAAGGCCTACTCTGGGACCTCTTCCCAAATCAGTTTCCTTACACGGAAAAAAAAAAAAAAGAAGGTAGTTCAACCCTGGCTGGGGTGGCTCAGCAGATTGAGCTCCAGCCTGCAAACCAAAAGGTCAGTGGTTCAATTCTCAGCCCAGGCACACGCCGGGGTTGCAGGTCAGGTTCCCAGCTGGGGGTGTGCGGGAAGTGGCTGATGGATGTTTCCCTCACACATCAATGTCTCTCTCCCTTTCTTTCTCCCTCCCTTCCCTTCTCTCTAAAAATAAATAAAGAAAAAGCTTTAACACAAAGAAGGCAGTTCCTGTGTGCAAAGCACTGTGCTAGTATTGCACGGAATCAAAGGTTCATAAGGCAAAGCTCTGCCACTTGGGGAGTCTGTGGTGAGGCCAAAAAGATAGGCAAAGGACAATCAGCCAAATAAGGAGGGGACAGGGGGAAGCATGTGGACAGGGTCAGCATGGACCTGCCAGCCCCCAGCCGTAAACTGGTGATGGCAGCTGGGGTAAGACTGTTTTAAAATCTCACGGTTAAAATGACTGGGGACCTAGAGGCAAAGTGAAGTGGTCTGAGGGTTCTTCCTGCTAAGAGATTGGATGACTCCATTACTCTAATAATCTTGTGATCCCGAGACACGCTGGAATATCCAGATTGGCAAGAGAACTGTGGGTCCTTAGTCTATTGGCAAATATTTGAACACTTAGAGTGTTATATATAGGTTATTATCAGGGGCATATAGTCTAAGACATGGTCTTTGTCCTAAAGGATTGAACAGAGTTCTCACGATAAACAGAGTGACTGTGCAGCACACATGAAAAGCCAGGAGCAAATTCCTCCTAGAATTTAACCTCAGAAGAAAATTTCTGTATTCATGGAATTGTGGCTTTCCTTTTATCAGAGAGAGAGAACATGCTCTGTGTCTAGTGTGGCCTCCAACAATTCCCGGTAACTGCTTTATCCTAGCTTCTGGGTACAATGATTTTTTTATTTTCTTTTTACCTTGGCCTCCAACAATTCCTGGGAATTTTTTTTATCCTGGCTTCTTGATATAGTGATTCCCCCCCCCCCAAATTATTTCTGGTCTCCCTTTTAAGTTATTTTAAAACTACTACTACTTATTGTTATTATTATTGTTGTTATTATTATTTTGTTATGAACTTGAAATGCTCCCCTCAGATCTTTTCCGGAAGTTGGCCCGTTATGAAAGATGCATAGGAAAGACAGCAGGCACCAGATGAATGACTTGGAGGCCGTTTGCTTATAAGAGGGAGGAAAAAAACAACACAGGCCCTAATCAGGAATATGCAGAGAAACCATGAACTAGCCTTGCAAGATGGAATGGGATTCAGCTAGGCAAAGAAGACAATGAAGACTTCCCTCCCAAACCTGAGGGACATGGTAGAAGCACAGGTGTGAAGGAAGAAACGTCGCCCTTAGCGTGCTTAATCTGGAATAACTGCCATTCACTCAGCACAGAGGCCCTGCCTGAGCGTTTTACTGTGTCCATGACGTTTTTAGGCCTCAGGTGGGGGTTTCATTCAGCACAGTGTGGGGTTCACTGTGATCCCCACAGCTGGCAAGGACCCTTGTCTCTGGTTCCATCTGCAACAATAGCACTGTGTCCCTACCATTCTTTCAAGCCTTCCTGGAGTGTTTTCACCTGAGCTGAGCTTGATTTTAACTTCCCTGAAGGACAGGAATGTGGCTCCCCGCCCCGCACCACCCCCCACCCCCCCCCCCCCCCCCGCACCCTTCCTTCCTCGCAGGCTCAGGTGTAGTCTGTGGAGTAGGGGACATTTATTTCAGAACCCCGTATCGCCCATTTCTGCAGCCTTTCCCTCCCTCACTGGGGCCTGTCCTCTCTTCCTCTCCTCCACTTTCAGCGGCTCAGACACTTGCACTGTATGAAAACTCAGGGAAAAAAACAATCTGTCATCAGTCACTCCCTCTTGAATATGAATGTAGGTTATTGTTCTCTTCTCCAGGGGTAGTGGGGCTGTTGGGGGTGTCTTCACACTTGAAGCCTCATTATGGAATGAAAGGCTTTGTCCATCAGGAGAGGATTTCAGGCATGGACAAGTGGGTGTTGGAGATAATTGGGCAGGCAAAGTGCCTTTCCTAGTGCTCCTGAAATTGTGCTTCCACCTCCTCCTGTAGCCGCTCTTGACAAGGGTCCGTGCAGTCCCATGACCCGTAAGTGTCGGGGGCCTTCATTGCTTTTCAGCCTGCTGAGGTGTGAGACGGCAGCACTGCCTGAGCTACCTGTTAACTGGGCGTCTACTCTTTAAAGGTTTATTGTTTTCCACACAGAATCCTGGCACCTTTACCTACATGTGCCCATTATTTTAAGGCAGGGATTCTCAGCATAGGCCCTAATGATGTGGGCTGGATCATTTTTTGTCATGGGGAGCTGTCCTGTGCATCGTACAATGTTTAGCAGCATCCCCAGCCTCGACCCACTAGATGCCAGTAGCATCCCACACCCCCTCCCTACGCTGTGACAATCAAAACTGTGTCTAGTTATTGCCAAGTGGTCCCTGGGGAGCAAAATCACTGTTGATTGAGACCCACTCTTCTCAGGGGAATTGGTTATTATGTATTATGCTGTGTAACTATTCCCAGTTTTCTGGGACAGGTCTTATTTAATGTACCTTGGTTCTTTTTTAATAAAGTTGGCTTCGTAAATGTGTAATTAACATTGTAGAACTTTCCATATGAATAATTTTCTAAATCAGAATAAACATTTTTTTTTAAGGTCACATATTCTAATCTGGTCATCATAGTAAGTCGATCTATTGAGACAAAAAAAAATTCTCATTCTTCCCCTAGCATGTGGCTGATTTATACAACACGGGGCCATCTTGGTCAGCTGCTTGGGCAGTGGCTGGCGGGCCATAGCGCGAGGGAAGTGGCAGGGGGGGACCCAGTCCTCTTGGGACAGGGTGCTAGGTGACTCGAGGGGTCCTTTTCAAGAAAAAGACAAAACGACCAGGGGAACATGTTGCTAGGGCTCCTCCCCAGCCTGAAAGAGTCCTGTGCAAGAAAGGGGCTCTGAGCTCTCAGTTTTTATTAGCTTCAAGTACAGCTGTCTCTAGAAAAGGTTTTGAGGAGTGATGGGGGCAGCTGTGGCTGCAGGAATAGGAAAGTAGGAAGAAGAAAATAGGGTCTTCTTGCAAGAGCTGAGAGAAGATTCTCAAAGACTTGACTTAAGTAGAGAGCATGGGTCAAAGGAGAATTGTTAAATGCAGTGTAGTCTGTACTTCTGTGAATATCTGCCAG